GGAAGCCCAATTTCCATTCCGATCATTTTGCCTCGTGATTCCGTTCATAGCTTTTATCGTGCCAATGGCGTTCACTGCTCGAGAATATCGCAATATGCCCTTTGTGTATGGTGAGTGTGGTGGAGTTCCCAGACGAGCAGCGGCGAGGTACAGGGAGAGATACCCTGATCGTCGGGCACCCGATCATCGGGTGTTTCCTCTCCTTCATGAGCGGATGGCAGCAACTGGTTGTCTTCTTCCTTGCCGTGGCGAAGGACGTCCTATCGGACGTGCTCGAGATGACCTGGAAGAGGCAGTCCTCAACGAAATCGAGGACGACCCCACGACAAGTGTAAGGAGGATTGCTGGACACCTTAATACGAATAGTACCAAGGTGTTCGGCATCATCAAGGAAGAAGGCTTCCACCCTTACCATTTGTGCCCTAGACAGGAGCTGATGCCGGGAGATCTTGAGGCACGCATCGAGTATTGTCGATTTATCCTGGAGAATCATCGACGCGATCCTCATTTTCTGTTCAATGTGTGTTGGACAGATGAGTCCTGTTTCACAAGGCAGGGAATTTTCAACATGCACAATTATCACCATTGGGCATTAGAGAATCCCCACCTGGCCAGGGCTCATTCTTTCCAGCACCAGTGGTAAAGGCTGAATGTATGGGGTACAATTTTGAATGATGAGGTGCACATTTGATTAGCTCCTGATCCACTCAATGTAAGTATCGATTATTTATCATGACAAAGATAATTAAAATTTTTTTCTTTCAATTGAAAGATCATCATTCCAGATTTTTTTTTTCAGGGGGAGAACTATCTGATGTTTCTGGAGGAAACCTTACCGGAATTCGTCGGAGATGGCCCAGAAAACAGAGGTGTGTGGTTTCAGCAAGATGGTGCTCCTGCTCATCACACCAGAGCAGTCACCGGAATGCTGAACCAATGGTTTCCAGAGAGATGGATCGGGAGAGCTGGACCAGTTCGTTGGCCTCCTCGGTAAGTGACGAGTATCTCTAATCTTCCAATAATCGTGCGCTGTTTGAAATCAAATTACTATTTCTCCCACAGATCACCAGATTTG